TTAAAGCCAAGGGTGGATTAAAGGCAGCACCCTAAGACTGGTATTTAAATGGTGGATGAAGGAGATTTATTTACGTATTTCATTTGAGATAAAGTCTCATGCTCCACTGGGACTCACTACGTTAGTCCAGGCTTCTCTCAAACTTGCAGCAATTATTCTGTTCATCTTCCCAGGTGACAACTTGAGCTACAAAAGACCGGGTCTTAAAGAAAGAAAGGAGGGTGGGGGGAAAGAATCTAGTTGTCAAAAGTGAGTTAGAAAGTGAAGAATTAAATATAAGTCCTTTCTTATGCTTGACCATGACAAGGAGGAATGGTAGCACCAGAAATATACAAAGGTCAGTGGAAGGGTCCTCTGGCTTAGATATAAGTTAGAAACAAGCATGTATATGGACTCATGGGAAAGAACCAGACAAATTATTAAAGGTAGAGAAGTGGATGAGGACAGCTTGGTGTCAGAGTGCTTGCCTAGCACACAGAGAGTGGATTGAAAAGAAGGGGGTGACAATGGGGCAAATGGTTGCAAGGAAAAAGGATACCTGGTGTGTTGCTGGGGTGTGTACAAGGGGAGGCACTGGAGTGTTTATTCACTCCAATGGGTACTACTGAAAAGGCCCTCACCTCTTCTGTCATTTTGGTTTTTAAGTATTTTGAGAAGGTCTTGTGCCAAGCCTGGCCTTGAACTCCTGATCCTCCTGTTTCATGTTGCCAAGTGCTGGGATGACAGGTAAATGCCTGCATGCCTGGTTTGTCTCGCTCACCTTCCCTACTTGCAGATCCTTACCTACCTTCTCAGGAATAAGGGAGACAGTGCAGTATAAGTTAGCCCTCGTCAGGAGAGCTTGTCTTTGGAGGGCAAGCTGTTCTTACCACACAGGGCGTAGTTCTAGGGAAATGGTTCTGCTGCTTCAGTCAGGGCAGTGTCTTCTTGGATTTGATCCTATGGTTTTGAGGGATTTGGAGAGGTTCTCCTATATTCTTTTTTTTTTAAAAAAATTCTTTTTGATGTGTATGGGTGCTTTGCCGACATGTATATCTGTACTATTTGTGCACCTGGTACCCTCAGAGGCCAGAAAGTGCATAAGATCACCTAAAAATGGAGACATGAACAGTTGTGAGGATTCTGGGAACTGAACCAGGATCCTGAAAGAGTACCTAGTGCTCTTGACTGATGAGCCATCTCTAGAGCCTCTTTTGTTCGTTTGTTTGTTTGGTTGGTTTTTTGAGACCAGATGGTCTTGCTGTATAGCCCAAGTACTTCTAGATTCAATATCTTCTGCCTCAGTTTCCCAGGTTCTGGGTAGGAAGTACCACCACACCTTGCCCATCTTCATCCCCCTTTTTGAGACAGTGTCTTATGTATCACAGGCTAGCCCCAAACTAGATATATAGCCAAGGATGACCTCAGACTCCCTGTCTCCTGCCTCCACCTTCAGCATGCTAGGATTATGGGTATGTACAATCTTGCCTCATTTATGCAGTTGTAACAGAGGTTTCTCATCCCACCTGGTCCCATAGCTACTTTTAAAATAACTACTCAGAGGCTTAATATTAGTTACATACTGTTTGGCCTATTAGCTCAGGCTTATTATTAACTAGCTCTTACAGTTTAAATTAACCCCCTTTCTATTATTTTATATTTTACCATGAGTTTCGTGGTTTGTTACCTCACATCTTGCTTCTCTGGAGGCTGCTGGCGTCTCCCTTGACTCCACTTTCCCTTCTTTCTCCCTGTATTCAGTTTGGCTTTCCTGCCTACCTATATTCTGCCTTGCCGTAGGTTAGGGTAAGGGCGTTCTGTATGCTAAGGACAAGGAGATGATCAGAATACAATCTTACAAGTCTGACTGCTAAGCCTGCCCACTTTTTCAAGCTTTAGGTAAAAAACAAAAACAAAAACAAAACAAAACCTTCTTTTCTTTTCCCTCTGCCTTTTTCAGGTACTGACCAAAAGCCTAAGCATGATTTCCTTGGCACTCTGGGTTTTCTCACCATTTCTCTGAAGAGCCATCCTTTCTCCTACAGTTGGCCTGATGACCTCCCCGTGTAACTCAAGAGGCATGCCTTTCTTCCTCCTGTGCCACCCTGCTGCTCCCAGCAGCTGTCTGGATTTACAACCCACCTGTCTGGCTTCTCACTCAAACTAGTGACATGGTCCTCGGGCCTAACGACATGTAGAAAAGAGAACTACATGTTTACTGCTGTGCAAAGAGAAATTTTTAATTGAAGGTGGTTGTTAAATCATCTGGATTTCAACCCTAGGTAACGTTAACAGAAACTCGGAGTTAAGTGAAGAGCTGGGAGAGAAGGAAAATGCAAGGCCATGTGTTCCTGTGCTTACATCACACGGCCCAAGCTCTCTTGTCCATAAACCATCCCACCCCTTATAGGAAATGTCGGGATCTTCGGATGATGGCAGTTAGAGTCTTCCCAATACTCACACTAAGAAAAAGAAAAAAAAATTGTTTTACCTTGATTATAGAATTTTTTGAAGTCTCATAATCTTTGAACAAGAGACTAATGAATAGACCTCGCAGATACCTAGTAGTCCATCTACATTAACCATAATTCCATAATTATTACATTAGCTGCTAAATTGGGGGGCCTCTTTGGAAGGTAGTCTGAGTATAGCTTGAGGTAGATGTTTACCCACGTGATCGATCCTCAGGAAACACTGCTTTAACTAATAGCACAGACTAATGAGAGTTCTTGGAACCCAGAGGGCAGGTATTGCTTCAGGCTCTAGGCACTGCCATGACCTCAGCTTTGCCAGTTAAAAGGAGTTCTTTTTTTTTTTTTTTTTTTTTTTTTTTTTTTTTTTTTTTTTT